TATTCCTTAATATCCATAATTATCCTTTATTAAGACGTTAAGACAAGAAAGGAAATATATTTCAAAAAAATCACAAAATGTATATGTATAGTATATATGTTTTGTTATATTAAAACCGTTATAATTCAATATTGCTGCGACAACTACTCAAGAATCTTAACCTTACCCTCGCAAATCCGTGATCGGCGTCGACAAATACCGATAGTCTCGGCGATTTCGGCTTGATCTATCGCAAGTCGCAACCGCCTGCTCAGCCGCGGTCAGTTTCGCACGAAGGAACGAGTTGTCCCTCCGGGCACGGAGAGAAAGGCCCACCAACCATCCCGCCCGTCCCTTTTCCCTGGCTTACAGGCGGGGAAAAGCCCGTGGGGGTTGCGGACGCCATTCAACCGTAACAAAAGGCAATCACCATAGAAGTGGCGGCACTGGAACTAGCAGCGGTCATAAGTTATCGAAATCACGTCGATATTTCGCGGAGAGTTCCGCGAAACGAACTGTACTGTTGGTGCGCTGGGAGGTGAATAAAAGTGTGCGCGAAGTGCGATATAAATTGTACTGATTAAAATGTAACAACCGAGAGACAGCGGCTAGTTTCAGGACGTATGGCTTTAGTAGGTCGATTAACGATGAAAACTTACTTATACAATAACCAATGATGACGATTAAATTTTAATAATTCAGTGTACTAACATATAATCATTGGCTAATTGTAATATATTATATCAGTAAAACGATTTTAAATAATGATGACAGATTAATTGTGATTTAATTAGTAATAACAACTGAAATCAATCAGATAAGTACGGTAATAATAATTAATTGGATTACAGTTGTCAATCCAATAAGCATTAATGGGTATTAAAAACTCGTTTTTTAAACCATTTTTTAAAGCTTATTATTGTATAGAATAAATCCTTAACATTCATTAATATTTTTTAAAGAGGATGTTTACCCACAGAGACGTTTCGTTTATTCGGTTTTACTCAAAGCAAGAGTTGTCCCATTTTGCTCGCTCAATTGTTTATCAAGTATCACACCAACTACGGTAGCGCGGCAATCAGTTGAGAATCTCTCGATATAATCCCGATTTTGCCAGAAAAAGCGATATAGGTTATTTGAATTTTTACACAAATCCGTCAAATCCGCATCAATGTAAAATTTCGAACAAATAAAAGATAACGTACTAGCTACACATTTGCACTGTATACGAATAAATACGTACAACAACGAAAACGTCCGTCGATAAAATTATAAAAAAAATGCATCATCTGAACGATTTTACACGAAGGAATGGAAGGGGCGTACAACCATCGTCAATCTCTGCACGTTCGTTCGCATTCAATTGAATGCTCGAATATATCGAGTGTTCGTCGAATGTCCGCTCGAAAATACACGAAATTACTCGAAAAGTTTTTCAACTAATTGTCTCTTGTTGCAGTACATATTTTCAGAAAGTTTTTCAAATTTCAAAAAATTACATTATTCATGTAACAATACTTTAAATGTGTATAGTTACTACTTCATCTGATACTATAAACGGGTATTTTTTCAACTTTTAATAGACGTTATTATTATAGATACGCTATAGATACCAACAAAATTATTGTCTTTATGTATAAAACTTAAAATTTAAAAATGTAATCAATTATTTACAACAAATTTAAATAATAATGAATTTTATCTTGTCTCTCTCTCTCTCTCTCTCTCTCTCTGTCTTCTTTAGTATTTTTGTTATAGTCTATTTTATAATACATTTTATGAAAGGTAACTTGGCAAAACTAATATTAAAAAATAAATAATGGTGGCTTTGTTAATAGAATATTTCACTTGTATTGTATAAAAATATAATATTTGTTGATATTAAATGGTAATGATATGGTTGATATTAAATATATTACATGTAATAGTACTTCATTTATTAAAGATTCAAGAAATTCCCAACTGATCTTATATAGCCTTTGAAATAACCCGTACAGCGATGTAATTCAAACGCTTGGTTAAAAATTTCACAAATCCGTGAATTTCCGCCCCTTTCCGCACGAAATCTCTGCACGAAGACGGCATACCATCATTATCCGAACGCGAAACATTGCAACACGCCGAGGGAAAATAGTGAGAGGGTGGCTCGCTACATCGATCGGGGTTAATATCAGGGGAGAGGAAGGGAAGTGAGGTAGCTTACAAATTGCACTCTCAATTTTCGTGAGGAAGCGCCGGCTGGCTGGCGTTGTGAGCTGCAAAGCAGGTTTTATCAAGTTAAAGCGGAAACGAAGAAGGGAGTCCGAAAGACGGAGGAAGAGGAGAAGATCAGAAGGGGGAGAGGTAGGTCGAAGAGTGGACCATTAAATCGCAGCACCTGCAATTACATCGATCTAACCGTGTCTGATGATGTTGATTTAAGTTCAAGGAAAGACGGCGAGTGCATTTCGAGTCGTTTTCGAATTTTGCAAGGAAAATTAAATGCGGTAAATCATGCTTTTCACAAGAAACAAGAATTCTTCGACTAAATATAATAAAAATTAAAATAGTAAAAACATTGATATCTTCGCGAATTAGTTCACGTCCGTATTTTGTAAATCTTTCTTAAAATATTAACTTAGAAAAATATTGCTGTGTCTTATACTATTTCCTCATCCAATTACAAAAGCAATTCCTCTTAAGATTTAATAATTCAGACATTGATTAAAGTTTAAATTAATATTGATAGATATATTCGCGCGATCAGCAACGAAGAAGAAGAGAAAACATTGTTAGACTAGGAAAATGTACATAGAAGTATTGTTTCGCAAGTGCAGTTAAAGGGGTCTGATAATTAGAATCAATATCTTATTGTATTGCACTTTGTACTGCGTGCTGAAGCATTAGATAGCTTCACGTGGTTAAAATGTCTCGCCACAGTTGCCTGACAATTTTTCATCACGCTCGCATAATTAAACTTTCAATACGACGCGGTGGCGATTGCGTTTTTGCGATGGACACTTCGTGCCAGCAAAAAGATCGTTAGCGGATTCCGGAAGTGCTATATCGATAGTTTATCGATTCTAATTTACCGGAAAGTCGTTATCCGACAAAACCCGATCGTCTCCGATTTATTTATTAATTATAAAAGAAACTTAGCAATCTACGTTATTTAATTCTAAATTGCGGTAGAATTAATACTTTTAAATTAGTGGAAATGTTGGTTTTAATTTTTTTAATTAAATTAATATTAATCTGTCTCTGTTATTATATAAATATTTGAATAATAAATTAAATATATATGGTAAAATATTAATTATTACACAATGTATCTTTAAAATGAAGCAAAAAAAAAAGAAAAAAAATGTGTAAAATATGTATAGAAATATACAGGTCCCAAAATAATCATCAAATATTTCATGGGCAGGTAGAGCGGACTAAACTAAGTTGAAAAGTTCTTTACCATTTTACAATTTTCGCAATAATTAACGAAATATTAATTACTAAAAATTACCAAAAATTAGTCTCCAATAATTTTTTACTCAAATACTATTAACTTTACAGAAAAATTGCAAGAGGCAAAAATTGTGTATTTTTTTTCTCATAAAACTACGAATATTTTCAAAATTTTTTCAGAATTTTTTAATACCATATTTTCTCATGTTGGTAAAAATAAAAAAATGCAGTACTAAAAAGATGATAAAAAATTCTGAAAAAATTTTTGAAGCTCTACGAGAAGAAAATAAACAATTTTTATCTTTTACAGTTTTTCTGTAAAGTTGATAGTATTTGAGTAAAAAATTATTGAAGACCAATTTCCAACAATTTTTACTAATTAACATCTTGTTAACTATTGCGAAAATTGCAAAATGGTAGAGGACTTTTCAACTCAGTTTAGTCCGCTCTACCTGTCCATGAAATATTTGGCGATTATTTTGGAACACCTAGTATAAAGTAAAAAACTATTGACAAATAATGTGGATAAAATAAAAGTAAAAATAATAAATATATAAAATGTCAAACATTAAAATATAAAAAATATTTATTAAAATAATCGAACGTCTTCGAGCTTGATGAGTACATATATTGCAAAAATATCTACTGCTTTGATGAAGTGCAAAATAAGATTCACGAAGCAGTTTCTTAATGGCTTCATGCGTTAAACTTCACGCCACCGTAGAACTGAAGGATTTCGTCGTATAATTAGACAAGTTAATTACAACGAAGTACGTAATAAGCACAGACTTTAAATTAACTCACGACAACCTATTCTTGGTATTTTGTAAGTCGGACCAAAGTCACGTTCAAAGTGCCTACGTCTTTCTGTTTCATATCGTATTTGAGAATACTATGGTTACACCTTTACCTTTAATTATTATAATAAGAAATAATACAATACAATATCAAAAAACATTATATAATTTATCGTTACCATTTCTGATATAATTCGATATAGAAAAGAGAGCAGAGGAGAAGAGAAAATAAAATTTTATGATTTAAAATTCGTCTTGTAGTTATATGATGAAAAAATTTTTTTTAATATAGAATGTGAAAGAGGAAGTACGTATATATGTGTGTGTGTATGTGTGTATAAAATCATTAATAAATATAAAAAATATTACGAATAAAAAATACGATTTGAAATACTAGCTATGTATACTTAAGGCGAAAAACAAAAAATTATAAATTAAAATTTCCCGTTAAATATAATGAAATAATTTTAAATGCAAAATTACATAGCTTTTATAATGAAAACGAAGCAGAAATGTAGGATAAAAATTATTACAAGAAAAGTAATTAAATGTACGCGGCGGATCTGAGGGATAAATAAAATTCCGGACGTCCCGTTCCGTATCGTGCACGCACTTTGACGTATTAAGAACTCGTAAAAGCGTCCATTACTCAGATATTAAACTCTTGGCACTTACGCGTCTTCTTGCTCATGCACAAGCTAAATTTCGAGCTAATTTTACCTTGGAGTCGCTCGTTCTCGCGAATGGTTTTGCTTAATTGCGTCGCACGCTGCAGCATTACACACTTACCGTGATCTGAAACAAAAATACAAATTAATAATTATTGAAAATATTATTTTATAGTAAGTAATATATGTAAGTAGAATGTATAATATACAGGGTATCCTGCAACTATCGCATTATCTTTTAAGAATGTGCCCCTGAGATAATTTTGAATTAAAAAATCATAAAAGGAAAATCTTAAGGCTATAATATTTTTTAAATTAGTAACGATTAAGGTTCACTAATCACAGAACTGATGTTTCGCGCGTTCAGGCATGATGACATAATAGATAATAAAAGTGCTACCGCCTTTAACAAAAAAATGTCATTAGCATAAAAATGCTAATATATTAATACTATAATACTAATAACCCTCGAACGTCACACATGGGTCTTTCGTGTCCACATGCATTAAAAATAATTATTTTTGTACTTTAATAAAATCAAAAACTGCTTTTTTCTTCAAAAATCAAAGTCATAATTTTTATATCAAAACTGAATTATTTTCTTTCTCTAGTGCAGAAAGTAATTTTCATAATTTTTCTAAACATTTTTTCCAATATTTGCATAGCAAAATAATTTAGTAGAGACCTTAAAGAATATGTGTGAATTTTTACAGAATTTTTCGAGCACTTTAAAAGCCTTAAAATAGAGTCAGACACGAATGACCCATGTGTGTCGTCCAAAGGTACCGAAGATAAGTGTGATGTTCGAGGGATAATATTAGAATTATAAAAATAATTTATCAAAATAATAATTATAAAAATTATTTATAATAACTGTTACGTCCAGGTGAGGGCAAAGTTTCGACAGTCGTCACATAACATAGTATGTAATTATTTATAATATCTACTTATTATAAAAATTATAATAATTCTAAAATAATTTTAAATTATAATTTTTAAATACTAATTACAAATAAATTTTGCAATAAAAATATTAATTACAATACAATTAAAATAATTAAATTTTTATTGAATATTTTATATTACAGCTTATAATTATAATTTTTTAATAAATTAAATGTTATATGCTTTCATAATTATCTTTTATAGCAATAAGTACTCTTCTAAGAGAAAATTTTTTTTAAAGTTTGCTAAAAAATTTGTAGTTGACAAAAAAACATTTTAATATCATGTAAACTCGAGGAAATTTGAAATACTACATAAATTAACTTAAAATGTTATTTTTTCATTGCATTGCATGGAAAGATGAATCTACGAAATAATATAACATTATGACGAAAGTCTACTTTTTGAACGTTTCTACAATACGTTTAAAGACTATTAAAGATATTAAAAGCAAAAAATTAAATACAATCAATTAATGTGTTTTTGTAAGAAAAAGATCTATGTAGAGCTATAGTGTGATGAATCGCAAGAGATAAACGATTTGTTTCCAAATTAAATAACCGTAAAAAAAGTTTTCTAACTGGCATAAAATTCAATTTTTTTATGACATTCATGTGAACAATTTGATTATACTAATAATTTCTATTTTCTGCGCGTTGCACTTATACATTATTAAAAAAAAAATAAACGCGTAGGCACTTATATCACATGAGTGCACTTTCGATGCACTTGGCGTATCGATGCAGTTATGGAGTGAGTTTTTGCGCGGCTTTACAGCGCATTTTTAGCGAGAGGTCGGTGGGTTGTCTTGCATTACATGTCCATAAGTCGGCGGTGTATGGCGTTAGATAAAATAAAGTACGATGCACTTTAGTCGATGAAGACGAAACGCGGAAAACTCATGGTGATGCAACATCGCAGTATACATCGACGATCAACTTTTCTCGATATGATTCTCCATTTAATGATATTGAATTAGATATATGTATACAACATCATTATTATTGGATAGTCAGATAACAGCGCGATACTACATGTAGTTATTTATCACTACTTTCGCCATCTAAAATATTATTTTCTTTAAAATTTTTCTTTAAAATAATGTCATTCCTTTTCATAAATTACATTTCAAGCAGTAAAAGACAGACGTTTCTATTATTTTTCATCATGAAATCGTTTATTCTTTGTGATATTTACATTTCTTTTGTGGCGTTTGTATTGTCATTCCATTGCGAACATGTCGAAAAAAATCATAAAATGTAGATATTAATTAAGATTATAAAATATAATGTGTGTGTTGAAAGTATAATCACAATAAATCATTTGCTGTTCAAATTTATATAAAATACGCAATCTATCACAAATGTCTGAAAATAATTTTAGAAAATAATTTCAAAACGAAACTAGAATTTGCAATTGAAAATAGTAATTAATCTTTTCATTCCAAAAGATACAACATTAAAACAACAGTAAAATTACAGTAACTTTAATTGCTCGATTTTTTTACATGAAAGCTGGTACAAACATCTCTCGCGAAGCAACGCACGGTATATCGCGCCCAGCTTTATTTTATACATGTTAGATATTACAATTGTTCCAAACTCGCAGGTTTGTGTTGTTGCGTTAGTCAATTTTCGCTTCGGCAAACAGCCTTGTATTTATAAACGCGTTGATATTTTCGACCGTCATAAAGCAAACGTAATACCACGCGGGATTGCAAAGTGAGAGGAAAAGAGAGAGGAGATTCGCGATTTTGATAAAAAGGTTACGCGTCCATTTTAATCGAACCGCGAGATTGCAATCGCGGGTGCACCGAGCTATCGAGTTTCCCGCGAAATATTAAATGCAATGCGTATGCAATCGTATCGACGATTCGTGTTACAATTGCATTTATTTTTATGGCAGCGCAGAGACACCTCGCTCACAAACATTCTCGATTATACTCGTTAAATATAGAACAATAAAGGTAGAGAGAGAGAGAGAGAGAGAGAGAAAGGGGGGGAGAGAGAAAAGGTCATCAAAAAACATTGAAAACTTTAACTGAAATATTTTATTGTCTATTTTACCCTCTTTTCTTCGACTTATATCTAAACTTTATATATTTTTTGTTTTCTTTTTCGTTTTATTTTAAATGATAAGACATTTGCTTCTCTTCTCAACTTAACTCTTTTTTTATAAAATGTTATTAATTCGCAAATATAATAAAAAATATGGAAAGAGTAAAAATTATCATCCTTTGTTGTTTTTTCGCGCCGGTAATAGAAAGGATTTCTTCAATTTCTGCGGGTATTTGCAATTCAGACACGGACGTCTTAGATCGCGTTTGGATAAGACGCATGCAAAAAGCAGTATCTATTTGCGTCAGAACGCTCTTACTAGACCGGAGGGCAAGCCTCAAGCAATCCTTCCACCCACATTTAGGCGAGGGGATGGTTCTTCTTCACGCGCGTTTACAAGGCGGATCGTATGCAAATCTCTAGCGGCTTAATTACGCGACACGCCTACTATATGAGGTCTCAGATCGCACGTAACGCGAACCAGAAGCTAATATATATGGTCGACGATAAGAAGAAACTCTCATTCATGGATCGCTGTTCGCTCTTTTACGTTAGATGTCGATCGAGAGGCGAAGACATCAAATAATTGAGAAATCGAATAACAAAGAAATCCGATAAATGTGGCAGTAAATTATATGCTTAGAATAATGCATTTTTCTTAATATATTCCATTTGCTCGGATATTGACTTTCCAGTACCTTTAAAATCTTACATCCTAAAAGACCTTTTCAATTATCGTATAAATAGACTATAGCGATGCACAATTATCACCAGTATAATGTAACAATGACATGAAATAATACAAAAAAAATAAAATTTTACATTATTACTATTGCTATTTACAAACCACCCGATATAACCACCCGAACGCTGTCACGTAATGAACGCTTCCAAAGCATCACATGCGAATCTTACATTTATCTTCCTCCTTCCAACCGACTAATCCGTGGCGGATGGCTCGTTCGTTCAAAGAGAATAGCGTTTAGGTTTCCATGGCGCAACAATATTTGCATTTTCATGACGTAACGCCAAAATGTACGCCAGAGAAGGCGACGGTGAAACAGAATAACAAATCACGCCCGAATACTTGTTTTTAATCCTTTCGTGCGCGATAAACTGTTAGGAAAATATGACGAAAACAGGATACTGCAAAGTTTAAATGCGATTTACATATGTTTTTCCGATACGATTCTTAAATATAAGTATACCATAAATAAATCATTGTGTAACTTAAATAATCTCAACCGCTATTCTAGACAAAATTTAAATTGTAAATATAAAATATGTATAAATAAAGAGAAATTCTCTTTACTTATCTATATATATGAACTCATAAAACATGTTTTATGAGTTCATTTTAAAATATATGAGCTTTTAATAATTAATAAAACGTCTTTACTATGTGTCAATACAATATGTAAAATATTTAAATTATATACATATATTCAATATATTATAGTAATTATTTTAAAAATCAGATGTTTTAATAGTATATGCAATTTTTACTGTATATTTTATATTAATTTAGTATTATATCCTTTTATTTTAATACACATATACGTATATTTATTAAAATTGATAAAACGGAGAATTACTTGGAGTTACCTGTAACAAGTCTATTATGGTCATTAAATTCTACTTAATTCGATTCTCTTTAATTGTGAGTTCGATATTTGAATGAGTTTAATATTTTTGTGAAAATATTAATTAATTCATAAAGTTTTAAGTACTTTACAGATATAATCTGTCAGAGTTACTTGAAGGTATTAATATTAACCTTACATTAAGCTCTATAATAATCTACATAATAAAACGTCTAACACATAAGACTTCTAGTGTGCATTAAGTTCTGCGAGTGGAAAGCATTATTCGACTTAAATTGGTTAATATGACACATCGCAGACGTGGAGTTCAGCGCCATAATATCACATTACAATTTAATTCAAACTTATAGATATTGTAAATACTTGCAATTAGTTTCATTTTATGTATATATGTATGTTTTATGTGTCTTACTAAATTGCATATAATTAAAAAATTGAGTTATTTTACTCATCTGAAGTAAATGAACTTAAAACTGATTTTGTTTATGGACGTTATTGGAAGATGATAGAAGTAATTTTTT